CTGCTCTCTGCTGCCACCTCTCGGCCCCCGCCGGCACTGCCTCTCACCTGGCATCACTGCAATCACCTTTGTCCTTAAGCCCCCAGAACAGCCACAGCTAGAGCGACCCCAGCAAACACAAGGCCTGCCGTGACCTGGACCCATTGTCCGTCCCGGGGCCACCTCCCCTCTCCCCTCGCCCACTGGCTCCAGCCACGCTGGCCATGCTGGTGCTGAGGTGCACCCTCTCGTGAGCATTCACCCTGCCCTCCCTCTGTCCACATGCACTGCCCCGGTGCACACAGGCCTCCCTCCCTCTGCTCCAGTGTCAGCCTCTGCACTGGCTCAGCCCCTCCCCTGCCTTCCGCACGGCCGCACCTGTCTCCTCCTCCTAGGTCGTGAGCTCTGTGGGGACGTAACCTACGTGGCTCACTGCCACACCCCCGGCATATAGTAGGTGCTCAATAAACACTTGTGGCTGATTCGAATGAATAGTGGCCAAGGGAAGGGGGTCCCGTTCAGGCCCAGGCAGGACAGGACTGCGTCCTCAGGCTCCCGGTGTCCCCCCCAGGTCCTGGCGCACAGCCCTCGCTTACCTTCAGTAGCTCATAGAGGAGCTCTATCTCGTCCTTGCTCCGGGGCTTCGGCTGGTCCCCCATAAACTGCATCAGAACTACAGGCAGCACGAGAAGCGTGGGGAGCTGGGGGGCGGCCTGGCCCTGGCCCACGCGTCCCCACACAGGGCTTTCCCCCGCCATCTGATGCCTTGCTCTCAAAACGTGTGTGAGCCAGGTCGGGCGGCAGACCCGGCCTTACCAATGGGGAAACAGGCTCAGAAATTCTGTGGGTGCCTACAGCCCCACACGGTGCACCGGCCCAGAATCTACACAACCCACAACGCCTTGGGCAGGAGTAGAAGTGGGCGAAGGCCTCCGGGGAATAGGAACCACCCCTGAGCTGCCCTGAAGTGGCAAACTCCCGGGAAAAGGCAGCCGGGTGCCTAGGTCCAAGGCACCACAGGCAGGGGGCCCAGGCTGGCCACTCACCCTGGAAGCTCTCCACAGCCTGCCTGCTCGTGTCCTCATCACTGAGGCTGATGAGCGACTCCTGGATGGGGGCCTGCAGGCAAAGAGGCGGGGCTGTGGGTCTAGGGCCTGTGGGACCCAGGGGGCAGGTCCACTGCCCCGCCTCCCCCTCCTGCCCCCCTACCTTGGTGTACTGCACCAGGCTGGCCATGACCTTCTGAGCATCTCCACCTGCCTGGGCCAGCCTGCGGGGCAGAGAGACCACAGCCCTGCTTGCTCGGCCCTTCCGCCCCTTCCCAGGCTGTGGCCTGGTGGCCCTGGGCAAGGGGCCCCCTTCACAGAAGCTGAGGACAGACGGGCAGGGCGGGCCAGGGCGGGCCGGGCACTCACAAGGTCTGGGGCTTCCGGAAGTATTTCAGGGCAAAGTCCGGCATGGTGTAGTTGTGGGAGGCAATGGACAGAGAGGCAGGAACCTCGGAGAAGGGCAGGCCGCTGGCCTCCGAGTTGTCACCGTGTGCCTGGCTCGAGGGTCTGGCGGGGCCCTGGGAGCACAGGAGACCTAGTGCCACCCTGAGACCTGGCCGGTCCGCACCCCTGTCCCAGCCCCGCCCGGCCCGCCTAGGGGAGCAGCTGCAGTGAGCACACCACCAGAGTCAGGAGAGTCAAGAGCTTTTTATTGAGCATCTTCTAGGGCAGCACCAGACTAAGCACCACCA